GGTGAACCAATTGGACGTTCAACTTTTATCTCATCTCAGCTTCTTGCACGAGACAACCATCTCACCCACCCCCGGAGCCCCTCCCCTGCTTAAAAAATAGGTTTTGTCGGCTTAGAAGAGGTGTATCCATAATATGCAAGCATATTGTTTGTTCTGAATCACGAAACACATCAGTACAACCTTACCATTCCTTCCCAGACCCAGGCCCACTACTATCTTGCTGGAGAGCGCAGGGTGCCGCGCCACAGCCGCGCCGCGTGGTCCTCACCAACCCACTTGGCACCAATATTTCTATTTATAATAATGGATTAAATTCCATCGCATACCTTACATGTTGAAAAGGGCTCGCGGGCAAGGACACGGGAGGGTAGTGGGGAAGCTAGGAGGTTGCCATTACAACACGGGCACTGGCTCGCGTCAGGACCAATAGCTGTATTACTGTATGAGCCGTATGCCTGCACCGAATGTTCTTTCTGTTTTCAACACACCCTAAAATACCAGCCACATCTCCATACGACGCTGCTTGTGAATTTGATTGAATTGTTTTCTCGTGCTTTCCATAAATGACGCCTTGCCATTTTTACAATTTACCTACCATTGAACCAAGAGCTTACTTCTGAGAACGGCTAAGAAGCCGGTTATCAACTGCAAATCACCTACATATGTCCACAATGTAGGTACAAGGTCCTTTAACTTAAGGTTAATAAGGCTTAACTGGGCTGTAAAGGATGCAAATCGGTCAGACTCAGTGAAGACTTCAGAGTGAACGTTTGTGACAAACTCCCATACGGTACGCTGGTCAGCTGCGCCGCAGTGGATGCATTCAGACTCCACCGAGTGCATTGTGTCCACTGACCGACGCCGCTGCTGGCCACGTGCTGACAACACTGGAAACCGATGGTGTGAATGCACCCAATCACGAATGTTCACTGAATGTTGAAGGGTGAACGAGTAACAAACAATTGATCATACCTGCATTCAGAATCCCAGTAGCTTTTAATGGGTATGTACAAAGACTTAAAGGCTTAGTTCACGATAAAAATGGTTTCCCCACAGGATGAATTTGAGGCCCAAGGGTATACCATAACTGGCACTATTAGGTCGGAAAACGGCCTTGTTAGGGAGGTATAAAAGCCCAAAGATTGACCCGTGTGTATCCTAGGACGAGTTTCACCGGCATTGTAGAGGCTGCACCGATCACAAAGGAACCCATGTAGGAAGTTCAAACAACTTGTCATGGCCCTTAGCGAGAGTGAAAGACAGTTTTGCACAGTTCTGGCTTGATGTAGTCAGCTCTTTGTGCAATTGCAATACCTGAAATCTCGTCCGAATACACCTTCCATGTTATTTCCGTCATGGCAATCTCGTCCAACCTCACTTCCCCTACTTTTAGGAGCCATATTTTTCTCGAAATCGGCGATTTCTCTCACTTTCTTCACTACCGATAAACTATTCCCAATCTATACTTGGTGCCGCTTTTCGAATGAAAACGGGCACCTTAAAATTATCGTGAACTGCGACTCTTTACGTGGCCAACCGTTGTACACCTCATTACTAATATCCTCTAGACGGGGGCCAGTGTACCAACCCCGACGGAGGGCAAGGTCTGATTCATTTACATTCTAACCCATCCGTTGGGTTGGATTACTTGACCCGATACATGGGCAGGGACGTTGTATGTCCACTGATCAACTCGTCGATCAACAAAATTCGATTCCTACGCCGTCGCGACCTCACGCAGAACACAGGTCCGCAACCGCCCCACTTTCCACGACCGGAGATGCAGTATTCCATAAATGTCTATTCCAACGTTTTATTGTCATGATGATGCATGTATAGTGTATCCTACCAATTCTTATAGAAGTTACTTCTTCCTTCTTGTTTTTTCTAGCTTAGCTTCATTCTTTGACTCATTTTGGATTGTTGTTTTTTATTTAATCTTGTTTTTGTTCTGTAACCTTCAAAATTCACCAATCCGATATCAAAGCAATTTTATAATTTCTCTAACGTTACACAATCCTCTGAAGAATGTACTGTAATTTTCATAAAAAGTACAAGTTTGATTTCACGCAGTTTTCTGCAATCAGCTGTTTTCAAGTGGCAGCACCAGCAATCATATCGGCACTGTACTTGCCCAATGTTGCCATTGAGTTTGCCCGTGCTCGTTGTAGGAGTAGAGCCTGAAAACTGAGAATTTCCCTACAAATATTCAACAAGGCGAAGATCTAATGCGGCTGCGCCACGGCCATAATTTTTAGTCATTTTCAGTTGAAGGCCTACCTGAGCTTCTTTGACATTAGTGTCTTGACCTCGCCATTTAGCCATGCATGATGCTTGAAGTGCTCTTCCGTAAGAAAACGACAACACCCATGGCTTTCTTCCCTTGATCTTAAATACTATAGCAATGAACTTCTACAAGCATCCGTAAGAACCATCTATTCGGAAGTTGTATGGGAGATCTGGGCAGCCGTTTATAGTCCTGAGCCATCACCATACATATGGTCAGGGGATGAAGATCTGAATCGATTGTCGCCTGGAAAGTCGTTGTTCGCTCTTCCCATTTGGGTGTCTCAATTCGACATCCTACTCTCTTGAGAGGATGAAAGCAATGAGGTTTACTTCAGCTGGCCCAGGATGATTGTTTCGTCCAAATACATCATAGTCCAAAGTTTGAATGAAACTAGAAGGCATGGTCGTATCCCAGAACGGAATCAATGAACGGCACATATTTCGTGAACATTGCACTTACATATTGAATCGTACGTTCGTGGGTGCTATTGTAACAATATGATTTGATCCCATTGTTCTTTTAAGTTCTGGTTAAGGGGCGTGGTGCGTGACGTGGGCGGAGTTTACGGAGTGACAGAGTGACCTCAATTCCCTACACGTAGGCGTTCAGTCCCAAATTCAGAAAGATTCATTTATGGTCATGAGATTTTGCTTAACTTCGTTTCTTTTCTTTGAATATGACATTTTTTTTTGATAGATCGCCAACTCTCACGTCAATCCGTATGAGCCTAGTCACCTGGTTCATTGCATTCAAATTCAATGTG